TTAAGTATTGTGATAATATCGTATCGTGGGATGTATGGTGATTCCCACCTCTACTAAATACTAATGCCTGTAAGCTCTTTAATATGTGCAAACGTGATTAACAATTAGGCAAGTCTAATGCAGTTTGTAGATCACAGCATCAGTTTTATTTTGTTTTGCTTTCAAAGAAAAGGCTCGAAGTTTGTTTTGGGAATCTCAGAAAAAGAAAGGGGAGGTGGTGTTCCATACAAGCCCTCAGTTCCGGTTGTGGAAGCCAGACGAGGGGCAGCCAATTAAAAGAAAGTGAGATACATAATAATGTTTTGAAAAGGGAATCAAGCAAAGATCATATTTTACAAATGAACATAAACGATCCTCTGTGGAAAAACACAGCATGGATCACCAAAGTTTAACACATACGCTTCTTCATAAACAATGAAAGTGTTTTGAATACCACCAACACACGCTGATATATGCTTCTGTATGTGCTGTCACCGATCGTCTATCAAGGCAACAGCATGAAACAAGCACAAGCAATAAACACGATAAGCTTGGGGGCGGAGTCAGACGGCTAATCTTAGAGAAATGAACCTTACTTGTTGGAGAAGACGTCATAGATACCAACTTTCCCGTCATCTGTTCCAAAAGACAAAGATCCCTCTTTTGTCGGATGCCACGCCAGCTACAACAAATGAAACACTTTTTTTATGCACTTCATCTTTTGTGTCAGCGAACAGCAACAAGCCTGTAATAATTTAGCCACTATCATCAGCCTCAGACATGATGGAAGCTTGAAGAACAAAACAAAATTTAAAGGCTGCTTAAAGCCGATAACATAAGTCTGACTTTAATGTCCTCTCAAAGTCTCATCAGCAGCTCCGCTGGATCATTTTTAAAGCAGACATTTGGACAGCCGACAAATTGTTTTTTCATCCGAGAACTTGTTTCTTTACTGATCTGAGATCTCATCCTTTAACGTCTTTCAGAAAACGTCCTCTCACACACACAGACTTTAAAGTGAAGTAAACCATTTATATTCTTCCTGGGTATAAACTGATCATTGTCACTAATTGTTAACCATAAATCAGCTGTGCTTTGCAAAAAGAAACACCTTACCGCTGTGACTTTGGACTTGATCCCCTGCCAGAAGGACCTGACATCGTACTTGTTCTGAGTGGCCAGCGTGTTCCACACCCGGATCATGTTGTCACCGACACCGAGCGCCAGACATCCAGTACCCACGGGGGAGAAGGTCAGGGCGTAGACGAAACCGCCCAGGGTGGGCAGAGTCCAGCAGCACTCCAGAGAGGCCAGGTCCCAGCACTTAACCTGGAAGAATGAACCAGCTTTCAATGAACTTCCCTCTTTAAAGGCAGTTTAATAAGAAATGTCAGAAATCCTTATTTGCTTTCATGCAAAATTCCCACTTTAAAAAACAGGCCAGATGAACGCTGGAACACAGCAGTGCACTCATGGCTAAAAAAGCTTCTTCAAGTGAATCTTAACTAGTGCTGGGAGATTAATCAGACCGTGGTGTCAGACGGTTGTTGCCTTTGGCTTTCGTTCTCCCTCTGGCCAACAAGGAGGTCTCCTGATTCGTGTGAGCCCACTGCCAATTGGGTTGGCCTGTACTGAATTCCATACTGGCACAGGCCATGTACTGTAAGTTCAAAGGTCACTCACCTCTCTGTCCATGGAGGTGCTGATGAGCAGCTCTCTGCCATCCTGCAGGTGAACCGAACTCATGTTAAAGACGATCCTGCTGTGGTTCTGACCCTCTGAGGATGTGCCGAACAGGGTCCACCTCTGCTTCCC